TGTCAAAAATGGGAATATATAGTATAGCTTGAACTGAATCTCCTCCTTTCACAGTATAATTTTGAATTTTTCTTCTCATCTAGTGTTATCTGGCATCCTGGTTGAAAAATTATGCATCTGGAAAGCAGCTGACTTTGATTTGGAAAAAGAGGAATACTTTTAACATGTCATTTCACTTAACATCTTTGATGTCCAAACGTACTCAGCTTTCTAGATCAGAACTGAGAGAATACAGTAGTATATAGTCATTAACATTGAATTAGGCAGTGTGTTAATTGTAAGCTAGCACTGGGAACAGATGTGTTTTTGTAGAACAGTGGGCTAAATGCATTGGTTTTTTTAATACAGCTTCTGTCTGGATCATCAATCTCTCTTAGAACTCCCTTCTCCTTTCTACCACCTTGTGTAACTGCTCTATTTTGTACAGCCAAGAAAGAGCACACATCTTTCACTGGAGCTCACAACTCCATCTCAAATTACAAAATGTCCCTGACTATTCAGCCTTTTGAAAAAGCAGTAAATAGAGATATAACTTACCTAGCAACAAAAAGTAGATCTCCATAATGCAGCCTATGAACACAGTGAGTTTATTCAGTTATGTTTCTGTCATAGCTCTTATTTTCCCGTTGTTAATCTTAAAAAAAAAAAAAAAAAAAAAAAAAAAAAAAAAAAAAAAAAAAAAAAAAAAAAAAAAAAAGAAAAAAAAAAAGACTACAGAAAAAGCCTTTTCTATTCTCATCTAGTGTTAAGAAATCCTGCTGATAACTGGGAAGGAAACAAATTATCTAAGCTTCTGAAACTAACATACTAGGTAGAGTTTTGGCTGGGCCAGGTGAAAACAGAATGGAATAAATATGAAGTTTGAAAATGTCACTTTTTCTGTTGAGCACTGAAGTACAATCTATCCTTTAGCTCATACAGCTATACTTAGTGAATGTTTTTATAAATACGTTTAGGGGTTTTCTTCCTGAGCATTTTCCTTTCCCCTTTCAGCTTTAAATGTCCAGCACACAGTAATAAAAGAAGTACAATGAGAATGAAAGATGTAGACAGAAAGGAAGGAGGATGTGTTTTTTCCATATCTTAACATTAAAGAGGCTTTTATTTTTTTCTGGAGAGCTTTTAAAAATATTTGAAGCATTTGCTTCATCCGTAGTAAAAGCAACAGACGTATTAATTTTAAGTTGGTTTTGTTCCAGATTTAACCTTGTTGAAAATTCTGATGTGTTAGAAGATCTCTTGTCTATTTAAGGTGAAAATCCTCCTCTTTGACAAAAGAAACATATTACCATTTGAAAGGTTGGTCAGCATTTTTGCTTACATACCTACTAGGTAATAATGACCATGTTGACCCTTCTTTTGATTGCTGAAGGCTTTTATGAATGCATTGATACTAGTTAAAGATGATGCTCAGTGCTGACTTTCATATAATGCTTTCATGAAAGTGCCTTTGAGAATGAAAGCGATGGCCAGATTCTGATCTCTCTTCTTCAGATCTTACACAATTGGATTTTCATTACCTAAATAAATGTGATAGAAAAGAAAATTATGCTTATTCTCAGATTATGCATGAAATCTGAGGCTATTTCTAAATAAAACATTGTATCTGTTAGAGAATTTTTGTCATTCAATTTAATAAGTTAAAATGACCTCTTTCTCTAGTGGAGCTAGCTGAATTGCAAAGCTTAGTGTCCTTTGGATAAGTTCCAGGAAGAAAAGTCACCCTGCAGAGTTTGTCTCAGCACAAAGCAAACTAAGTCCACTGTACTTGAACTTTAACTGCATTTATCATTAGGTCTTGGGTCCTAAATATGTGTAGATAGAGAAAGCCAGTATTTGGCTTGTGTTTTGGACGTGTTTCCAAAGCCTTTACACATGAGAAACTTAACGTAAGTTTTCCAACAAGTAAAAATGGCAAAGAGGGCCTTTCCCATTCTTTCCTGATGTTTCAAGAGTAACAAGTAGTAGAACACATTGAGCTCAGCCTGGCCATAGCGCAGGCTCTGCACCAAGCAGCCACACGGCAACCAGGCCTTCTTCAGCCTCCAGGTACCTTCAGCTCCATCCCCTTCTGCCCTTGCTTCCTGCGTGGGACCAGGGGTCTCCAGAATGTTGCATCCTCCATATGGCCTGCACAGCCAGATGTCTCTGCCCACTGCCTTAATTACTGCGCAGGAAAAGACAGGAAGATGGGACAAACTCACCTGGCACTGATTTCCTTGCTTTGGTGACCAGTGGTAGAACTTGAGGGAATGTCAGAATGCTGATACAGGCGAGGGTCAGGTTGGATGTTAGGAGATGGTTCTTTACCAGAAGCAGATTGGCCACTGGATGAGGCTCCCCAAGGCAGTGGCCATTGCAGCAAGCTGCCGGAGTTTAAGAAGCATCTGGAAATGCTTTCAGTCATATGGTCTGATTTTTGGGTGGTGCTGTGTGGAGGCAGGAGTTGGACTCAATGATCCTTACGAGTCTCTTCCAACTCAGGGTATTCTATGATTCTACAAAAGTTCCCATGCACAGAAGCCCGGAAGGCACCACGGTATCTGCACTAACATCTCTGCTTACTTTTTTGACTGCACTGGAGTAGAAATAATGTTTGCACAGTCGCAGAACATTATTGACATTGTTATTTCTTGCAGAAAATCACAATTCTTAGAGAAAATGTTGGTTTTTCAGGTCCTTACTTTCACAGTATGGCATGCTGTAGGATTTTTCAAAAAAGTGTTAGTTAAGTGAAAAGAAGACAACTGCCATAGGTATGTCCTTTGTGGCCATGGAAAGGATGTATTGCGACTTCAACATTTAACAGGTTTAATGGTGCTATTTTTGATAAACAATTTTATGGCAGCACAGTTTTGTCTTGAGTGACACAGCTGTAGTCTAGGAAACTAAACATATCTTTCCTAGTGTTGTTGTTTGTCAGCGGAACATTTTCAATGCTCACGTATCTCTGTATTTTTAACCCACCACAAAATGAAAAATTTTGTATGATGATGGCTTCGCAGTCTCTTGGTTTGTGTGTATCAGAAAGAAATTAAAATACAGACACGTGCTTAATAATAACTCAATTGAACATAACGCTTTATCATTGTCAAAAGCATTGGTGGAGGAATCCATCAGCTCTTCAGATTTCCATACAAGTCAATTTGCTGTCTTCAGAATGTAACGCTAATGGCTCTCAGTGTACACACTGTAATCCTTTAAAATAATGTGCATGGCAAACGGATATGCTCTCATGCATTAATAATTTAAAAGTTAATTTTAGGTACTTACTCAATACGATTAACTGATGGATCAGCAGTCTTCTCCAGAGGCACGCTTAAAGGAAGAGCATGCTGGAAGGCCAGGAGATGCCTGTAGGATGGTTCCAAAACACCTGAGCTCTACCCTTCTGGTCTTGCTCCAGCACTGGATGTAGTGTGTGCATGCCTAACAGCAGGCTGTGGTGTTAAGTTTCATATATGAAGTGCTTGTCAGGCTGAGGTATCAGAATGTGGGGAAAGAACAGGCATGTTTTGGAGGACAGGAACTCTTGAATGCAGCATTGAGGCGCCTGAATGGTTGACTGGCTGGTTGACTGATGTCCTTCTATGCACCTCTTTTGGAGGACTCCCCATATTGCCAAGCTGAAGGGTGATTCTCTGGGGTGGAAATACAGATGACAACAAAGCATATCAGTATCGTTATGCAGCTAAAGGATGTGCCAGGGCAAAGAGCATTAAACAGTGTGCAACACAGGTGAGCACCGAAATCTTTGGCTTTGCCCATGGTAGGAGAGAAGCACAAACTGGTGATGGGGAAGCCCACGGCAAAATCTCTGGCCAAGTCCAACAGGTACTGCTTATACTTTGTATGTAATTGAATATAGCGTGAGCATGTGTGACCACGATGCCAGGTATGCAGGTCCTGGTACCAGACAAGTTGGAGGTGACTCCATCTCCAGAGCATGAGCAATAGCTGGTGGAAAGTTAGGGCAGAATGAGGTGGCAGTGGGATGACAGAGGTGACCTGGGGCCAGGACATGGCAGTAATACAGAATGAGATGGATGCCAACACCGTGTGGACATCTGGGAGGTGGCCAGAGGCAGAGAGCGGTGCCAGGAATGGCCAGAGATTGACTGTTGTGATGTGTGTGAGGAAATGGAAAGGTATGGAGCTGTCAGCAAGGGAGCAAGCAAGAGGAAGAGCTGAAAACGTGGAGATGGGGGGAGAGGGATGGTAGCAAAACCATTCTCTTAAGTACAGTAAGGTACAGCTAAGGAGGAAGGCAGAATGAGAGCAAGGGCGGCGGTGTATCACGTTACATTTTCAAACACACTGCCACCGGGATGCGACCGTGTGGCTTCGGGTAAGCGCACGGAGGTTTCTCCTGCTTCCCTCGGTTCTTTCCATAGCGCTGGCCACTCTGTAGGAGGCAATACTCTGCTCAGGAAGCACCTCGGGTTGCGCTGAGGTTCGCGATGCTCTGAGGGAAGCGCTCAGCTTTGCTCTCGTAGGAGCTTTCTCTCGGTCCGGGATCGCCTCGGAGCTCCGGCGGGGCTCGGAGGTGACACCCAGGGAGCGCGCACCGAGCGCATCCGGCAGCGGCGGCTGGCAGCGGGACGGTCGCGGCGCTACGCGGCACGGAGAAGCGCTCCGGCAGCCCATCTCCGAGCCGCCGGGACAGGCTGGAGGGGGAAAGCGAGCACAGGGCGCGCAGAGCGAGGTTCGAGAAAGAGTCCCCGAACAGCTCCACACTCGCAGATACCCCGGGGCGTCCCTTCGTCTCCCTTAAAGCACACTCCCGCGCTACCTGTGCGCGTGTTTGCGTTCGAGGCCCTCCGGCCCCGACAGCCCGCGCCGAAGGGAGCTGCGGCGGGGCGGGCGCCCGACCCCTGCCCTCGGCGACGGCACGGCGGCGGCGGGACGCGGGCCGGGGCTGCGGCTGCGTGCGGCGGGGGCGGGCGCGGGGCGGGGCGGGGCGGGGCGCCGGCGGGAGTCAGCTGGGCGCGGGGCGAGCGCGCGGCGGCGACGGGGCGCCGTTAGCAGCGGGAGCGGCGGCGGCAGCGGCGGCGCGGGCAGAAGTTTTCTCCGCAGAGCCCTCCCGCAGCCCGGGGCCGCCTTAGGTAGGCGCGGAGGTCCCCGTGCGCGCTGGGTGTGTTTTTGTTTTTATGTTTTTAATTGTAATATATATTTTTTGTCGCTTCCTAAGATTTTTTTTTTTTTCTTTTCCTTTTTAATTTTTGTTACAAGTTTTGCTTTCCGAAACTCGCGCTCTGTGGGAGCCCCGCCGCCCCGAAGACCACCCTCCATCCCCACCGCAGCCGCGCACGACCCCTTCCTCCGAGCCCCGGAACTCGGCGGGCCGCGGGCGGGCGGGTGCTGGCCGGCAGCCCTGCAGGTAAGGGCCGGGGGCAGCCGGGGGGCGGCGCCGGGGCCGCGGGGCGGCTTTGCCGGCTCCTCGGCGGCAGAGGCCGGGGAAGGACGAGGAGGAGGAGGAGGAGGGGAGCAGACTTCCTTTTCCTGGGGCCGCCGGCGCACCTCGCCGAACCCCGTGCCCGCGGGCAGCGGCCCGAGCCGGCCTCGGCGTGGGAGCGGGCTGCGGACCTGTCCCGGTAACTCGTGGCCGCGCTGCCTGCTGCTGGCGCCCGGCGGCTGGGGGGGGCCGTTGGAGCCTTCCGAGCACGCGGCTCTCCCCTCGTGTAACTGCGGGAACGCCGCTGTGGCATCTCTGTAAGCGCAGTTTGCAGTTAATGGGTTTGGCAGGCGAACTCGTGCAGAATCCTCCTGCCCACTTGTGCTGCTGGAGTGCCAGCGCCCCCGCCCCCCTTTTTCCCTGCTCTCCTTTGAAGCCTCGCATAACTCCGTGCTGCCAGCAGGACGGAAAGTGCTGATTCAGCAGCCCGGAGCCCCGCTCCATCTGAAGTGGTGGTCTGCCGAACGCGTTCCTATTTGTCAAAGCCGGAGTATGTGCTGCTGGTGTGTCAGAGCGGCACTGATTGGGTTTTCTCAAACAGCCCCAAGAACGTGGCTTACTTTTCTCTAGGAAAGAATGAATAAAGGGAGGGAAGGGGGAGAACAACCAGCACTGAGGTGGCGGGATGTGGGGACCCACTACATTGGGATGGAGCACGATGTCCCATAAAGGTGCTGAGCAGTTTCTTGCTTTAACAAAGACTTGGTGGGGCATACAGCGGTGATGCCCTAATGCTCCAGCTCGATCTATTCGTGCATCCGGAGGCTCATTGTACTTAGAGCACCAGAAAAGGTATGGAGAAGGGCAGCGAGGCTAATCCTGGGATTAAAAGGAGTGAGTTATGAGGGCAGGTTTAAAAAAAAAAAAAAAAAAAAAAAAAAAAAGCATATGGAGATTAGAAAACCTGCGTGGAAAAGGAAAATGTGCTGGAAACTTGATGTGATGGCTCTGGCTGTGCTTCCTGGCCATCCAGGTGCTGGGAGGGAGCTGGGCTGGCAGTGTGCTGCTCTCTCTGAAGAGCTCATCTAACGGCACGGCATGAGAGCAGAGCTGAGCAGGAGCTGTGCTCCTCTGGCTGGCTTTGCATGGTTACGTGCTGATACTGAGGGCTCGCTTTCTGTGAACCAGAACGCTTTAAAATTCTATGCAGTACAAAGCAAACAATAAAGCCTGGAGAGTGGTGTTTGGTAGCCTTGTTCCAAGTAAATGGGCGGAGCGGTGGACCCTGGTTGCTTCATACAGTGGTCGTTTTACCATGTTATACTCCGATGTATTTTCTTTGCTTGGACTTTATTTGTTCTTAAAGTAGGTCTTGTTTGCCCTGGCTACCTGTTAAAGATCTTGTGGTACTTCATGTCTTTTCTTGGTTTTGTTAATCAAAATATCCCCTCCCTTACTGCTGTGTGAGTTGGCTTTTATCCTTAGATATGGCCACACCTGGATTTCAGTAGTGTACTTCTATATGTTTTTATTGTATAGTCCAAAAGTGCTGCCTAAATGCAAATCTTTTCCGTAGTTCTGTTTAAGACTATGCCATGTGCTTTGTGAATAAAACAAACTCTTGCAACTCTCTATCTTGCAAGTACCTAAGTGGCCCTGACTCTAGCAGGAACTGTCACAAAGGTTTTAGAGATCTTTGGTTGTGTTCTCAGCAGCGCTCTGGGTATAAATGGGCTAAAAGTATTTGGATCTCTTTGGCAAAGGGATTCTTTTGACGTGGGGAGTTCCCAGCTGGCAGAGGAAAGGCATAGCTGGGTCATGTGCCATTTCTACCAGCAGCAGGAGAGTACTGTACTGGGAGCTTGTTTTCTGACAGTATTGAACTAGCAGATGTCCCTCTGGACAGCAAGGAATGGGCAGCTTACCCCTGCACACACAGCTATGGAATTGAGTGGATTCCTGCACAGCGTGGCATGGGATGGGACAGTGCTGTCACATTTTTTTCTCCCTGTTGTTGTATCCCCATCTGTGCCATGGGCATAAAGGTTTACATTGATGTGTGAAATGAGGACAGGTTTGTAGGCAGAACTCTTTCTTAAACCAAAGAGTTCTCTTGTGGGAGGTGGAGTGTGGGGGAAATACACTCAAGGACTTTTTTTTTCAGAGGCAGAGTAGTGCTGGAAGCTTGGGAGGTGGGAGGTGGATGGGTGCCTCTTTGATAACCAGTGGTGTGCATTTTTAGGATGCACTGAAGTATTTAGTCAGGTTCAAATTTCAGTGGTTACAGCAAACAATGTGGGGAAAAAACCTTGTCAGTTTCTACATGGTATACTGTGGAAGCCTGAGATTTGTTTGGGTTGATTTCGAGCAAAGACTATTGGGGATGGTAGTTCTGCTGTGTTCTTGGATCTTCTTCTAAATCTCTGTGTGAACTTTGTTAGTGAGCAACAGAAGTGCTTTTCTTCATTTTAAGCCTAAAGTTTTGTGAGAGCTAGGACTGAAGAAGCCCACTTGTCTTTGGGTTTGTCTCATGATTCTTTTCCTTTGTCAAATACATCTCGAGCTCTGACAAAACTGTTCCTATCAGCAGTGTTTGTAAAGGGTTCTTATATATTGAAGGTACTTGTGCAGGGTCCAAGGACCATGTCCCTTGTCTGGGTCCACCAAGCCTGCTGTTTTCTCAAATGGGAAAGGTAACTCCTGAGACCTCTGCTTCTGTCAAGCTTGCATGAAATTTGCCAAATGGCTTGTTTACAGGGTGATTGCATAAGCCTCCTTCTGTAGGAAAGCAGGCTAAGTAAGGATTGTTTTTCTTGGAACTGAGACCTGCTCCTGGACATGTCCAAAATACTACAGTTGCCACTCTTTACCTAAGGAAATCTAGGAATGGAGATCTTTTTCCTGAAAGGTGAAACTGAGATCTCTTTAGGAACTATGAGGTCAACAAGCAGTCCTTCTACAATCACTGAACTTTACTTATCCTCATACTACCTGCTGGTCAGGAGAGCTCTTTACAGCTTAAACTAGGCTGCGGCAAAGTAGTTGTTTGCCATCATTGTTCTCCCACACTAGTGGCTATTGTAACAAGTAATAATTGTCAGGTAAACAGATGTCACATTACTACCTTTCTTTCTGTATACTTGCTGAACTGTACATTTCTGAACTTGTCCATTGCCAAGTCTTTCCAATTCTCATGCCATCTGTTGAATTGGATGATCTTCTTGGACAACAGTTTTCCTACTAGCCCAGTATGACTTCTCTCTTTTGTTGTGGATATGGGGAGAACTATCCAAAGGAGCCAGAATCCACTGTGAGTACAGTATAAAAGGAAATCGTTGATCGGGGCAATGCATCCTGTCTACAAGCAGACTTAAACTCTTCAGTGATGGAATTAACCAGAACAGCCTGACTTTGAGATCTGGTTGCATATACCTACAAAGACTTTTTCTGTCACACTTTTTTTTTTCCCTTGGGCACTTGCCAATAGATATTTGATGTTAGAGTCAGGTGCTACATTTTTCACAGAAATACATTCATTTGGAAGTGGTGGTGATGGTAGTTTGTAGTAGCTTTTGGACTTATGATGTGTGCACTGCCTATAAACTCATTCCCCTTTTTGCTTTCCTGGGATGGGTCACTTCACAGAGCCCAAATATACACAGCTGTTAGGATGGGAATTACGAATTCAAACTCGAATTTAGAGTAGTGTTGGTGTGAACTGTTCTCTTTCCCGATCTCTGTAAAAGGCTTGTTGCAGTGCCTGACCACCTCTGGTGAAGAACTTGGTTTCTGACACCCAACCTTCCCCTGGCACGGTTCCATGCTGTTCCCTTGGGCTCTGATGCTGTCACTGGAGAGCTGCCCCTCCGCTCCCTGTGTGGAGCTGAGGTCGCCATGAGGCCTCCCCTCAGTTCCTCTGCTCTGGGCTGAACAAATCCAGGGCTGTCAGCTGCTCCTCATATGTCTTAGCCTCTAGATCCCCCACCAACTTTGTAACCCTTCATTGGATACTCTCTAATAATTCTATTTCCTTCTGATATTGTGGCACCCCAAACCCTTATGCAGTGCTGGAGATGAGGCCACACAGCGCAGAGCAGAGGGGACAGCCCCTCCCCTTGCCCACGGGCTGTGCTGGGCTTGGTGCACCCCAGGGTATGGTTGGCCCTTTAGGCTGCCAGGGCACACTGCTGACACAACTTGTCATCAGAGTTTCAGAGATCTTACTGTAGCCTTTAAGGAAGCTTATGAGACACTCCCTCCCTATCTGTGCGGGTGGTGGGACAGTGCCTGAAAATGTCATAGATGCCTCATCTCTGGGAGTACCTAAGATCAGATTGGGTGGGGCTTTGAGCATCCTGATCTATTGAAGTGTCTTTGCTCGTGGTAAGGGACTTGGACTAGCTGATCTTTAAAGATCCCTTCCAACCCAATCCTTTCTACTACTCTGTGGCTTCAACTGGTGAAGAGCCAGTGACATCAGTGAACCTGAGAACTTGTTGGAAGACATTCTTACTATAGTGTGAGTCGCTCTCTATTAGGAGAAAAGGGGGGCTGTAGGGATTCTTGAGGTTTTTACAAGTAAAGGACTCACAGTGGAAAGATGAACTGTAGAGAAGAGGTGGGATGAATCACATGAGTTTTTTTCAAACTCAGTGTTAATACTCTGCTATAAGCCAAGAGAACTTTTAAAGTAACTTGCTATTTGCACAGCAGTGTTACCCATGGTGAGATGCAAGTTTCTTATTTTCTCTGCTGGAGGGGGGAACTTTCTCAAACTTTAAAATAATATGAAGGATTTTTCTAGCCTAGCCTTCCCTTTCCCCCTCCTCCCCTCCAACTCTGCTATCATAACTAATATAACTAATTTTCCAGAATTGTTGAGGCTAAAAAGGACCTTTTGATATGATTTAGTCTGACCCTCCTGCTCAAGCAGGATCTGGTAGAAGCAGGTTGCCCGGAACTGTGTTCAGTTAGATTTTTAATAG